AAGCTCACAGCCATCGATGTTTTGTAAGTTGTGTATCTGAGAATTTTTATTGGTTAAAAGAGACGAATAAAGCAACATTTCTGTTCATTTTTTACTTAGTTCTCAGGAAATCTCAGTTGTGCATTATATCCAATCCCATTACCTTTGTGAACCCCACACGAAAAATGAATGGACTAATTCCTTTTACAGGTGTTTACGTGAGTCAGCAATGAGCATGTAGCATCTTTAGAGTGCTTGGAGTGCAACTGGAGATATGACAAATGTTTTGAGAGACAGTGGTACGTTCAAGAGAAGAGCCCCCCACGAGCTTGGGTTTTCTAAGACTACAGATTACCACTGTAGTCATCTTTAACGACCTGTTTTAAAGTGTGATGCTTGACATACTGCTTTATTGATGTTGGTAGGGTGCTGGTGCAATGCCAGTTCTGTCATGATGCCTTTTGAGAACCACTCTATATTCCATCAGGTTTGAGAATCAGACGTCACTTAGCATTACAGGGAAAGCTGGGTAAGAAAATTGGACTTTTTCATATGACTGCATCTGTGAATGAGAGGGAATTATTGTGTTAGCCCCTTCCATGGCCACAGATATCAGTGGTATAAGTGATTTCAGCATTTTTTGGTGTCAACTTAGCTACAGCACCTGTGTTTGTTTTGTTGGAAATACATGAAACTATAGGTAATATAACACATCCATACCACAAAGGCGGTATATCTCATGATGATATATTTTGGCATAATTCTTACCAGTGAAATTAAACAGCATAATGAAACCATACTGAAGCAAAATGCAAAACTAGTACAACATACTTCCTCTTGTCACTATAATCTTTACACATTATTTGACTGGGTTTGTGATGTGAAAAGACCCTGCTTTACGAAGTAATCTGTTTGTTTGTTTTTTTTTAGATTAAGCCTAACACATTAGACAAGAAGGGGAAGGTCCAGAGGCTTTTAACCCCATCCCTCACAAGTGATTCCTTTCCTTACTTGGAATGAAGGATAACATTTCAATTATTCCAGGATCAGACAACATCTTCCTGCTTGACATGTTAGCTGTGCTGGGAAAATGCATACATATCAAAGCCATTAAAGTGTCAAGCCCAATGGTAGGCTCAAACCAGGTCAGAATGTTCATGGAAACGTTTTGAATACTGCATTTTGCCCCCATTCTGACAGTCAACTTTCTCTAAAGAGCTTATATCTCAGCTGTTTGAAATGACAAATTCAGAGGATGCAAGGACATTTCTTTCTTTGCTGTTAGAATATTCCAGAACTCATTAGCATATTTCAGGACCATATGCTTTCTGACAAGATTTACTGTACAATAGGGCACAGTTGAAACACAAGGCTGATTCCAAAATGCGCTGTCACATTATTCTATCCTTCCCAAGTTTTTCTTTAATAAGTTAATCACCTCTGGAGTGGCAGTCAGCAGTTGTTTGGTTCTAGATGTCAATCGTGTTTTACGCTATTAACATGCATTTAAATTACTTTGGTTTATTTACAGAGATGCAGAGATGAAGGCGAATGGACACTGAAGCTGACATTTTGTTACCTAGAATTTCAAACTCTGCCACAGGCGGGGCAGGAGGGGGGGTGGGGGGGTGGGGAGGAGGAAAAAAACAGCCCATTGTTTATCTGGAGGTGACAACTAACAAGCACTCTCCTGGTAATTAGACTGCCTCAGTGCACATGGACGAAACGCTCCATGAAGGGTGCCTATGATTTAATATTTTCTTCTCTCTCTTTTCTTTCTGGTGTTACTTTACAGCATCTGAGTTTCCATAAATAGCTCTACCAGCCCTCCACATCCATTTTCATTTCACTTGCGTTAATAGCGTGACCAAAAATTTTGGTTTGGTGGCTTTTGATGAAACTGCAGAATATGGCTCATCTTGTAATAAAATCATATGTTTATGTGCGTGAGTCTGTAGGTGCTTGTCTGTCGCTCTACATATTTGCAAGTCCAGTGGTGATTTTTAACAGCCGTGGCCTCACTCGTGTGCCTGAAAGTATCTTGACTGTACAGCTGGCGACAGGCAAGTATATCTGAAGCATATTTCAGCAGGAGCAAACAACGGATGCTAACATGCCATCCTATTACATATTTCATGCATTCATAGAGCCTGAATATTAAGCTAACATACTCTTCTATTACAACATCTTTAATGCTCTGCACTCACTGGTCTCACTGGTTGTGTCAATGAGGGTTTCACCTTGCACCTCAGCCACCTGATCTTGAACAAGAGGAGTATCAAGACATCCAGCAACAATATCATTTGTTAAAGAACAGTCCTCACTGACTTTATCCAAATCTTTGATCCTTGATCTGTTAGAATGACCTCTTTTGCATGTCTAACATGGGTATTTGACTGCTCCATGAACACACATTGGATGCTGAAGAACTGCATAAAATGTGTTCTCCAATTAAGTATGAAAGGCTGTTCTTCCACAGGCCTGTCAGACAGGAAAGACTGTACTCTGCATTAGTGATCATTGGGTACCACTGCATCTTAATATTAAGAGGAGGACAGAAACATAGCGACACATCTTTCTAAAAGATGGATCTGAATTAGAAATTAGACTGAAATATTAAAATCATACAAATAATAGCCAAATGAATCCCAAGGGTGCTGTTCTGCCTAAAAAAAAGATGAGGGAATACAAATCTGTATGTGTGCATGTCTTGCTCTGTGTGCTAAGCTGCATCACATTATTTGTTTCATCATTACGAAATCAGCTCTGCATATTTCTAAATCTTCCTTGCAGAAATCAAACTTTTGACTGTTACTGGAAAAGAAATGTGCATAAAATGTGAAAAATGTAAAACTCAAGAGGCACGTGGTTTGTTGCTTGAATAAATGTGTGGTAGCATAAGTCAGAATATAATTTAGGAAGTATCGTGGGCTATTTTAAGTGGGGGGCGAGGGGTGCGTGCTTCTTCTTCTTCAGCCCACTGGTGGCTGTTAACCTGACTTGTTCTGATGTTTCTGGGCATTGTGTTTTGCCCGTGTGGAGGATGGGGCGAGGGGGCGGGAGTCACTCCAAATTTCTCATGTGACGGAGCATAACAGGGAATTGTAATACACAGCAACATCATAAATTTGATTACATTACATAGCACCGCGAGCCTGTGAGCCATTTCCAGGCACCATAAAAAAGCTATAACTAAGTTACCACTGGTACAGAGAAAAATGAATAAAGCCATTTTCTTTTAACAACCCGGGCGCGGGCGAGATATTGTTCTCTCCTCTGGCTTTAATGAGCTTTGCTGACCCGCGATGCGCTCATTGCGATCGAAACAAAGAGATGGAACAAGATGGGAAATGCACAACTTCGTGAAAATGATAGACTAAATTGTTTTGTGCCAAATATGGCAAAACCAAGCTCCAAATAAAAATATGCTATTAGAAAAAAAAAAAAATGCTGTTAGAAATAAGAAATCGCCTAAAAAGTCTATCCTTGCTCTCATGAATAATAAAAAGAATGAATCCGAATGATACATGATGTGTTTGCTTTGCTTTTATAAAAATATTAAACTATGAGAGGAATCATCCAAATCTTATAAAACTTAAAAAATGGTTACTCAGTTTGTAGTCCGTGTCCCGGTGACTGTTTATGTATGTATATATATATATATATATATATATATATATATATATATATATATATATATATATATGTGTGTGTGTGTGTGTGTGTGTGTGTGTGTGTGTGTGTGTGTGTGTGTGTGTAAAACCAGCTTTTTACATTTTTAGATATGTCTTCAGAGGCTAAACACAAGGTATTTTACGTCAAATGTCAACGGGAGCGACAGGATCTACAGACGGGAGCAAATTCCAATCGTTTCGGAGTTTCCAGCTTCAGCAAAGACGTTACTGGCAATTAGACAAAGTCAGTGTCATTGCTGTGCTGACTCCACCTCGGTGGCTCTGTGGAAAGCTCAAGCGACGCACCTCGAAACGAGCCCAAATACGTTCTACAAGCCAGAGGCAACGTGATGCGCAAAAGCAAAAGCCCGTCCAGGGGCGCAGACCAAACGCCGCTCTCAAAGTCCAACACTTACAGGTCACGCTTGAATACTGATCAAACAAGAGATCCACAGAGAGAAAGGGGAAAGAGATACAGGGGACAGAAATGATCGAAAATAACATTTTTACGGTCGATGCCTACGAAAAGAGCTGGATGTGTCCTGGTTTGTGGGCATGCCTATATAGCCGGATTCTAACGAAACGCCTGTCACGATTGACTTGGTCAATGAAACACCCCCCTGTGGAGATGCACTTGCTAGATGGAGAACCCCCTCCCACCACACACACACACACACACACACACACACACACACACACACACACACACACACACACACACGCGGAGAGAGAGATACAGAAAGAGAGAGAAAGCGAGAGAGACACACCCCCGCCCGAAAAAAACGAATGATTAAGAAATATGGGAAATGTTCCAAAGAAGCTCTATGCTGCGTAAAGAGGAGTAAAAGAAGACCTTAAAGAAATCCTGCTTCGCCTTTCTGCTGCAGAACCACCCAGGCTTCTTTTTTCATTTTGTAATTAAGTGAGTGGGAGAGCAGAACAGAAAAGGGAAGCAGTGCCTGTTGCGACCGTCGTTCGTGAACGTATCCCCGTTATTTAAGCGGCAGATATGCTCTGCCACTATAGCAACACCTTTGCGAGGGCAGAGTCGAATCTCCCGCTGAGTCCGGGACTTTCGAGCATCTCGTTCCGTCGCTAAGCCCCGTTTCAACTTGAACGTGCTTTCTTGCAGTATTCTGAAACGCTTTCTTTGGAGACTTGCCTTATGCTCTGTGCAGGTGTTAAAACGACAGGACAGAAGAGGTCTGTGCGCTCCCAGACCCCATGCCTGATGCTCCCCCCCCCTTTCTTTTACACACAGATAAAACCATGACATTAAAACCAAGGTCTAGTGGAAGAAAAGTAGCCAAACACTGTTCGGGAAAACAGGCTGAGAAGTCTGCCTACCTTTTGTCGGTGTCGGAGTTCCAGCTTTTATTTATTTTTTCTCTCTCTCTCTCACGCTCTCTCTCAGCTCATAAACCCATCACATCTTCATGTTTAAAACAAACAATAATCCCCGGGTTTGTGTTAAATATGTTCGTCCCCGCGGCAGGTCCAGTCAGGAACCGTACACGGGTTCCCCTGCCGGCTTAAGTAGTGATTTTAAAATCCACCCAAGAGCGCAGGATGCTCAGGACGCGCCTGGGTACGGCAGGAGGAGTCGTTCCCTCAGCAGCAGCCGCCGTGCGCACTTGGAGAAACCAGAGCTCTGTCCGTGCAGAGAAGCTGAGGGAATGATGTCATGCGTCCGGCCCTCCCTCTCCAGCCACCACTCAACTGAAGGCTCTCTCTGTCTTCTCTCCCCCCTCCTCTCATTGCCCCCTTCTTTTATAAAACTACTTTAACATTCTAACTTTATTATCATTACCTTTGTTGGTGTGTTTATTTAATTAATATTTTACTCATTAGCGACTATACATGAAAACTGCTCTAAAAAAGGAAAAATCTAAATTTTTACAATGACCTATTTTGACCTATTTTAACTCAAGATAATTCAGAATTATAATACAACTTTTCCATATATTCCCTAAACAATATCGTTGAGCAGTGGAGTAAAAAACGGGACTTTATGCGTAAGAAGAATTTTTTTTAGAATGCAGGTTTTTGCAGTGCTCTACTCGCTATGATGAAGTCATACAGTTTTTCCCCGCCTTACTAAAGGTTTCATCCAGTAGCATCACCAGCCTGCCTTTACCCGCCATAAGAGGGAAGGTAAGGTAGCATGAAACAGGCCAATGCCTACAGCGCACTGCGTCATGGCAACCGCCCCCTACTTGGTGCAGCAGGGGTATCTTAAAGATAAAGCATCATCTCTTCGTATCAGACTCAAAGGATAAGCTCGTGTGTATATCAAATATTACACTGCGAATGCAAACAATCCATCTCACTGGACTGTTATTTACCCATTTATTTAAACGAGACTGTGGATAAATTGTGTTCTAGTACACACATATTTTTAAACTTCTAAAACACAGTTAACAATAAGTTCTCCATATGATATGAATTTCCTCCCCAGACGATGTAAGGGCAAAATACAAAACTGCAACTACAAGGTGTGACTTAAGAAATCTATTAAACAGAAGCCAGTGTGTGATTCGTTAATATTATAAAATTATTTTTGTTTGGGTTTACTGCAAAACCTTCACAATAGGTAAGAAGACAATGAGGTATTTTCTGCACTTTGCTTCTGACTGCTAAACCCCCCCCCCCCCCCCCCCCCCCAGAAAATGAACAAAAACAGACTGATAAGGCCCAAGAGGACATTTAATCAATCAGCTTCAGTTGCAGGTTTTAGTTAATCAGATATTTTAAGTGACAAAGCTGCCTTCCTCAACTTTGTCTAGTGCCACAGATGCTCTTACAGGGACGACCTTGAATTTAACCTCCTGGAGCCCAGCCACTCATACTTCTCCTAATGCATGGAGTTGCTCCTTGAAGGAGGCACTTAGCCTCAAGTGGCCAAGAAATGGCAGCTGATGGACACTTGAAAACACAGGTTTTGTGTTCAATACATTGCTGCCTTCTATCAGACCATCTTTCCTATCATGCTGTTTTCTGTATTGTGGTGATAGACACACTCTCACTTGTTGTCACCAGTGGATTTTATATTTATATCTATCTATCTATCTATCTATCTATCTATCTATCTATCTATCTATCTATCTATCTATCTATATATATATATATATATATATATATATATAAGATACTGCGCAGGACCCTCAAGCTCCCAGGCCTCTGGTAGAGGACCCGAGCTTGAAGGATAAACCGCCCGCAGGGGCGTGCTGGGTGTTTTTTTTTTATATATATATATATATTGAGAGAGATGAGACTGCGTACAGAGCTGAAGTTCAGAGGCTGTCAGATTGGTGTGCAGACAACAACCTGGACCTCAATACCACCAAAACAAAAGAACTGGTAGTTGACTTCAGAAGGAGGAAGTCCGAGCTGCAGCCTGTCAGCATCAACGGGGAGTGCGTGGAAAGGGTCTCCAGTTTCAAGTTTCTGGGTGTGCACATAGACACAGACCTCCAATGGAGCTCTAACACCTCTGCGGTCTTAAAGAAGGCCCAACAGCGTCTCCACTTTCTGAGAATCCTCAGAAAAATGGACCTGAAGAAGGAGCTGCTGACCGTCTTCTACCGCTGCTCCATTGAAAGTGTGCTGACATATTGCATCGGTGTGTGGTTCTCCAGCTGCACCACAGCACACAGAAAGGCACTCCAGAGGGTCATCAACATGGCCCAAAAAATCATTGGACATCCTCTTCCCTCCCTGAAGGACCTGTACAGCACTCGCTGTCTCAAGAGGGCACGCAGCATCCTACGGGACTGCACACACCCAGGACACCGGGTGTTTAAGCTGCTGCCGTCTGGCAGGAGGTTCAGGCTGCTGAGGTCCCGAACAAATAGACTCAAGGACAGCTTTTACAACAGGGCAATAGCCCTGATCAATGTAAATAGCTGACCTGACTGGATACCTCCCTGGACTTTTTAGGGGGAGGTAACAATGTTTAAAACGATAACAATAATATTTATATTTATAACAAGGTGCAATAATAATTAATGTGCAATAATAACAGTGTGCAATACACATACACTTATTCTTCTTTTTTATACTAAGTTAATATACTGTGTTGTGTTGTTTGTTACGTTGTGATGTGTCATATCGTGTCGTGTTGTGTTATATGTAGTGCCGACGTAGGACAGTTTTTCCAATTTCATTGTACTACTGTACTATGTATGACTGTGCAATGACAATAAAGAGTTATCTTATCTTATCTTATCTTATATTCTTATTTATATATATAAGAAAACCTGAAGAACCATGAGCGCTCTTCTTGCCAGTTGATGAGAATTAGCCCTTAGCATCTGTTTGATGCCAAGGGCTAATTCTTGACCTTTTTGATTCCCCTCAGCTTCGTGTTCACAACATACTAATATGTACACTGAAGATGTTTTAACATTCTCAGTTTCTCAGAAAAAGGAGAATAGGAAACCACTGATAACAGAATTATTGCCCTCTTTTCATGTGTATGTATATCAGTTATACAATTATGTTTATGGCCTGTTAAACTTTTATTATAAAGAATAAGAAAGATTGTTTCCATCTGTTAATACACCTGTATACAATGCAAATAAAATATGAAAGAGGAATAAAATGCATAGCTATCCAAAGCCAGGAAAAATATGGACATTCATCCTCCTTCAGTGCACTTCATCCTCACCAAAGATTTACTCTGATCCCCATTTTTCAGTCTACAAAGGACAAAAGATGCAATGCATTATGATCCAACCCCTGCTGGATACACTGCATCAAGCCAGATAGAAGTAGAAATACACAGCTACATGTTATAGCTGTGTACTGTGACAGTGTCAAAAATAAGTGGAACAACTGCTATGTGGACTATTCTCATTTGCTTTGCTGTCAGTCTCTTAGAAGACAAAGAAATTCTTTGTAGTGACGTGAAACAGAGTGTTTAATACAATGAGAACTGTCCACTGTCTGCACTTCTCATGCTGCTTTCTTGAACTTTAATTATTTTTTAGCTTTGTTTTCCTCTTTGGGGTGAACAATTGTCACTCAATTCCTGCTTTTCAGTGACCCAGCAGTCTTCCTACAATTACCGTCACCACGGTCTGACTATGCACCATTGTTTTTTTGTTTTTTTTTTCCTTTTGGTGGACTGCATGTAATCACATTTCCATACCTGGCACATCCAAGATTTTTCTCCACACATTACAGACTTATAGCAGTAGTTTGACTCATTTCTGTACAAGGGGGAAAAAGAGTCCTTCTCTGGGACTGCATCATCCTTCTCAAACACCTGCCCTCGCTGCTGCACCTCAAATGCAACCTCTCTGCTCAGCCTGCCTTCTGTTGCGTTCTAGTCTGCTTACTACTGGTCCTTAAGACTGCAGTAAGAGCCTCTAAACCTGTACAAGTGAACAATGAAGTTCCTTTTGCTTTCAGTGGGCTCAGATGATCCCTAATAGTTAGAAACTACTGTGAAAACTACAATGTTTCCTAATATGAACATTATGTACATCTGCTGTTCAGTGGAAGTTCAGTCAATGCCTATAGTTTACAACTGCATAATTAATTAATAATTATAATAATAATAAGCGCTCTGATCTTGTAACAATGTACATGCTTTTTCATCCCTTATACAAGCCACACATTAATCGACTTCACAGATAAAATGTAAAGTTGGGTTCTTACACTTCTGCCCAGCCCATGGTGTGCATGGGGGCAACACTTTTTTTTGGTGTTCTTTCCGAGTTATGTTCTAGGCAACACATGTTGTGTAAAAATACCACCTACAGCTGGTATATAATACAGACTGATTATGTGTTTCTCAGACCATGATATCTTGACTAGAGTTGGTGCACGTTGATGTTTGCTTGGTGTTTGCTGCTTGAAGAATAATCAAATAGCATTATTTCACCTGAAGACGAGTGCTTTTTTCAGGACTGTCTGGACCATTTAATATCAAACATAATTTGCACCTGGATCCTCTGTATGCATCCTGTGTTTGCTGCTGGGTGCTACAAGAAATTACATACTCTTTGGTATCTCAGCTCCTCGACCTGATGGATTCATTTTACTCACAGCCACTCATTTGGATTTTACTGTCTATCCAAAATATTTAAAGTAGAACAAAAAGTGATCGGTTGCCTAAGCGAAGCACATTAATTGTCTTATTGAACTTATGTGATAAAAATTTTAACAGTCATAAAGTTAGCATGGTTTTGTAAAGACTAGACTAGAGAGTGTGCATGCACGGGTGCAGTTAAGGCCTTTTAAAGATGGCAGTCCTCAACTAATTTCTGCACGATCTGGCAAAACAGAGGCAAGGAAAACATCCATCAATCCATCAGTAAATAAATAAAAAAAATATAATTTGTGGGCCCAGTGGATCAGATTCCTAATCTAGGAAGTATGGAAGCCTTTCTCTACCCGCGTAGCTGGACATGACCTTTAAGCCAAGCTAAAGCATTTAAGTTCCTCGGAATGATCATTTGATCATCTTTTTCTTATCTTTGCTTTTACTTTAGATAATTGGACGTTCCTTTGATAACATCTGCTTGCACAAGTAAGGGGACACCAGACACTGTGAGCCAAAAGCCAATAGGACAAGCACTTGGAAGTGAGCTGATGATGATCCAAATATGCAGCATGCATTTGAATATTCATGT